CCCTCTTCCCTCCCCGTCCCCCTCCCTTCCCCACCAGTACTGCAGAGCACAGTCTGTGTGTGTCTGTGTGTGTGTGTGTGTGTGTGTGTATGCGTGCGCGCGCGTGCGTGAGCGTGTGTGCGTGTGAGTATGCGTGGCGACCAGCTTCACTTGACTATTCTTAACCCTCTCCACTTCACCTTTCTACGTCAACCCTCCTACCCCTCCGCTCCGCACTGGTAGTGCTGTCAACGCCCCACGACTGTGTTGACAGGTTAACAACCCAAGGATTGAATTGACACCCCGGTGCCCTGCAATGTGGTGACAGGTCACGTCGTAGGTCACGGTACGCATTACACCGTATGTACTCACTGTCCACTGCCACCTCCTTGCTCGCGGCCTTCTCCTCCAGGGTGGCCACCTGCACCAGCAGCTGCGACGCCTCCTTCGCCTTGGCCGACAGCTGCGAGCCCAGCTCCGTCACCTGCGAGCCCAGTTCCGTCACCTGCAGCTGCAGCACCTCACACTCAGCCCGCTGCGCCGACAGCTGTCTGCGGGACGAGAGAGAAAAAGTACATTATTGCATAGGTCTGACTGACAACTCGCGTTTTAACCGAGAACCCAACCCAAAGGGTCCAACCGACAGGCGAATTCCACCCAAATATTGTACATGTTCCAGCAATATGATGTACAACAAGCTTGTCCGCGGAATCTGAACATTACAGACATTTTGTGCGCAACCTTTTTTTTTTATTGCATGTTCAACCGTTACAAAGCCCACAAACGAACATTTTTATGTGCTCAAAAGAATGGAAAGCCTTGTTACTTCACAACTAGAACATTGTGGGCGAAGTTTGTCACAGCCAGAATGTTTTCTTTATTTATGCGCACTGCGTATATGCAACCAAATATTAAGTAAAGTAGCATGACGTGATTTTTCTCCCTTTACTTCCTCCTCCGTGCGGGAACTTCCCGCTACGTCATGAGCACGACGCGGACAAAGCGACGGAAGCCCCTTAAATCTCTTCGAGACGACCTGGGGACAGACTCATTTGCCATGAAATATGCATGGGCAAGCTGTGGAGCGGCACGGCACGGCGCGGCACGGCGCAGCACATGGCTGGCTGAGACCTGCGGCGGGGGCGGGGAGCCGAACCAGCAGCGGTGATCCCAGGGACTCCATGGATGGAAACCTGTTAATATTGAACAAGGGCTGTTGAGAGCCGCGCGCGGCCCCCCGGCTGCTTAGCGGGGAATAAGTGGAGGGGGGGGGGGCGGTTATGGGCGTGGGATAGCCGTGGTCTGTCGGAGCACGGCGTGGCGCGGCGTGGCGCGGCAGCTCAAAGGGAATGCTAATCCCTACCACGCAGCGCCGACGTGATCCTCGCCAAAATTTCACCCCTCCACGATTTTGACCCCGATGAGCCCTAGCAGATTCGTTTCGGCCAGCACGTACCCGTCAGCGTCCCTTCTGGGCGGCGACCGAGGCGGTGCCGTGGGGGCGTCGAGGGCGACGGGGGTGACGGGGTGCAGGGGGCCGGGCTTGGCGGCGGCGCTGGCCGCGCGGAAAAAGCTGAACATGGTGACGTGCTTGGCGGAGGCCGGGCACTACGAGTAGGCGGGGCGGCCGACCCCCGCGGGCTGCTCCGTCAGGCACTCCATCACCTCGGCGCGGGGGAGCGCGTCGCGCGTGGCGGGGGCGCCGTATTTACGATCGGCATTTCAAGTTTCGGCGTCGTCGGTGGGGTGGGGTGGGGATGCGGAAGGGGGAGGGGGACGGGGAGGGAGCACGCAGACCTTTGCGGGCCGGCGCGGCTCGAGGTGATACAAGTCTCCTGGACTTAGGGTCGGGCGGGGTGTGGGGGAGGCCGCGGCGGGGCCACAAGGTTCACGGGGTCCGCGGAGGGGGCTACACTACGGGAGGGATCGCGGGCCGCTGCGACTGGCGGTGGGCTCGGGACTAAGCGCTCGACAAACACTGCAGGTTGGACCTGCCTGGCCGACCACACACACACACACACGCGCGCACCGGCCAGCAGGGACGGGGGGGAAGGGGTGACAGCAGGGGGGCTGAAGAAGAGGCGGTCAGCCGGCTGGCAGCCTCAACATGCGTAGTGTAGCGAGGCGACGCGTGGTGGGCAGGGGGGAGGGGGGAAGGGTGAGTGGCGAGCAGGGATGCGGGTAGGATGAGAGGAGAAGGAGAGGCGAGGGGGAAAAAGGGAAAGTGAGTGGGAGCGATGAAGGGAGAGAGGTGGAATTGGTATTGGAGGCAGGGATCGAGACGGAAGCAGCAGCGAGCCCCATCCCCTTATCGCCCTCCAGGCTGGGCAGGGGGTGGGCGAGCGGGGCCGGATAAGAGGCGCCGGGGCGCTCGGCCTGCACGGTCTGCTGCTGCTGCTGCTCCTGCTAGTATTGCTCAACACCGGCTTGCTCGTGCTAGCCCTGCACGGCTGCTGCTAGTACAGTACTGCTCAACGCCGGCTTGCTCGTGCTAGCCCCGCTCGGCAGCTATAGTGCTGCTTAACGCCGGCGTGCTCGTGGGGGCTCCGCACGGCTGCTGCTAGTGCTGCTCAACGCCGGCGTGCTCGTCGTGTGGGCTCCGCCCCGCGACCAGACAGGGCCTGGGAGACTGCCAACGGCTGTTCCGAGGCGCCCCGGGCCGCCGCTCTGCCCCACCTCGCCGCGCAGAGGGCCGCGCACTCGCGCCGTTGTGCCTGAGCAGAGAGAGAGAGCCCCTCCCGGCCGGGCCCTAACGCGCGCGCTGTTCCCGGCCCGTAAGCCTGATATACGCTCATCTCCCAGAGTCAATACCCTTAACAGGTCGGAATGCCCGCGCCCGCCTGGCTCGAGGCCCAGGCCGGCCCGCCCGGGGCCCGCGCCCCCCGCCGATGCAGCGCATGTGTGTCTCCGCACCGGCCCCGAGGGGGAGGCGGTCCCGGGCCGCGTTGTTATCACACCCCTCGCCCTCGCCTGTACCGCCCCGCCCCGCCCCGCCCTGCCCCATGCCACTCACACACCACCTAGCGACACGCAGCCACACGTACGGCCGCCGACGTTCCCACAGGAAATCCACAAAGGAGGGGGGATGCGGAGAGGACAGGGGTAGCCGGGGGAG